AATTTAATGTTTATGATCTTGGTCTCTCAATAGCAACCAGAGTAAAATCAAATTGTAAAAATAAAAAATGAAAAATAATCAGATGAAGGAAAAATTCCCTCGATGAAGACCATTAGCATCTTTCCAAACATAATTTTAACTCTGGGTCCACATTTTACCTTCTTTTTGGACATTCAATCCAAGTCAAATAAATTAAATTAACTTATTATATACACCCTACTCCCAATTAATCAACATACATTTGTTAGGAGCCTACTGTATACCAGAAAGTATTCTAGACTCTGGGATGTAGTACTGAACCAACCAAAGTCTCTGTCTTCAAGAATCTTATTCAAGGGTTGGTGTGAGACACACACAAAACAGCAATCACCTAATTTTTAAACATTAATATGCTAACTTTGCAGTTCCTTGTTAAGGATGCCATCATAGTCCCAATCACTCAGACCCAAAATACTGGAGTTACCTTTCTTATTTCTGAACAGGACTAGTAATGTAAAGACTAAAAAAGGTTTCTTTAGAGAATTTCATTACTGTATGAATGGAAATATAAAATGTCTATAGTAAAAACAGGAAGGGCATCATTTTGAAATAAATCTGCCAATACTACTATTTTTTATATTCACATAATTCACATAAGAAATTAAAATGCCTTAACTTTGACAGTTGGTCAAAAGTAATTATATTTTTATTTAGAGCAAACATTAACTTTAAATTTATGGCAACATATTTATAGACACTGAACTATATAAACTGATTATAATTCAAAACCTGTCACTAAGTATAGCAAGTTTGCAGTCTTTCCAGATACATTATACTACAAATTACATTTAATAATTTTATGTAAGTAAACACCACTTGCTCTCTTACATAGAAGAATGCTACCCAAAGAAAATTGATAATAACCACTTTTAAGACATACCTAAATAAATATGACTTCTGCATAAGTAAAGTTTTCATAAAACCTTTAGATTTCAAATTCTAATCACAACTTCTTCCAATTTTGCTATTCTCCACCAAATCCAAAATATTAAATAACATAATTCTTTCTGAGCCATGGGTAAATGGATTTGGCTGCCTGGGCAGGAAGTAAGGAAAGGCGTGACTGGATTCAGGGCCCTGGGCGGTGCCTCCATTACATCAATAGTCCCCTTTCCTAAAGAACACAGTCAAGTGGCGAATAAAGAGTTGCACTGTCTTTTTCCAATTTCTGGCTTGGCTCTATATGGTGCTTTGATGAAATGTGATGTAGAACAACTCATTCCATTTTCAACAAAGAAGAAATGAGTTGTTTGATGTGAAATGGAAATGGCCCAACCACTGTAATCAGTCAGTGGCTGTGCCTTCTCACCTAGAATCAGACACTGTCTCTGTTCTTAAGTACATCTAGTTTGGATATTATTCCAGAGTAAAAAGTGAAGGGGAATGACAAAGGGTTAAGCAATAGAAACAACCCCAAAAACAGCCCAGAGGGAAACTATGAAAAGTAGCAAGGAAAGAGCAGCACAACCCAGACTTTTCTACAGATCCCTAAATTTCTGGTCCAATTCCTCTGTTAATTCCGATAATTTTTCCCATCTTCCAAGTATTTTTCTTAATCTTTCCACTATAGGCAGACTTTGATTATTAACAATGTAAGAAGCATAAATTACTTGGGCATTCTTGCAAACAGTTTCACAGAGAATTTATTTGGCTCTTAGAATAAGCAAGTACATTTTATTACTTTCTTTTTAGGGGGAGCATGAAATTAACTTGTAATAATGTAAAATGTATAGCACTATAAACATTAATTTGGAGCTGACTATAAATGAATTTGGGAATGGAAAATATACTATGATACATGCCCCTGGGTTTATGGGATTATGCTTGTTGGCACTGAAATTATAACATGTGTACCCACACCCTATCTCCTGTCTAATAATATAGTCTATATTCCTGTTTATCTTTTATAATTAAACTCTGTTATAGTGCTTTTTTCCGTTTTCTACAGAGAGGGACAAAACTCTTTATAACAAATCAACAACAACAAAAACCCCAATACTGCCTTTTAGAAAGGGAAAGAACAAAAGACTTAATTTGAGTTAATAATAATGCTTATGTCACAAAAAAACGAGAAAAGTTACACTCTGTGTCTTTAGAAAACTATATTAGATGAAATAAATTGATTAAAGTAGTATAATAACTGAAAAGATAAACTTTATACTTCAATACTACTAGAACCATTAAAACTATTTTAAATATCTGTGATCATTGAAGCTATGGGCACTTAGAAGCATCTTGATTTTTATAATAATGATAAAGATTTTGATCACAAATATAACTAGTAAATTTATTCTATTTGAGGAATTTTTATAGAACTTATATTTCAATATCATAATCCATATTTAATATTCCATAAAATTAGGTATTTTTTGATATCTTTATTCGAGCAAGCTATTCTTTTATAGGATACTTGTGGTGTAATTTCCAAATCTTTCCTTAGTCAATTATGCAATTAAAATATTTTATTTTATATGACATGGGGGCAACCACTAACGCATCATTTTACACATACTACTACATTTCACTTGGACTTCTCTCTACTCCAGTTTTAGTTTTCAATATAATTTCATAAGTGGAATGGAAAATTATCTTATTAAGGAAAAATATAAATGGCTGCATTACTCCCATTTTCATTACAGCATAGCAACTGAATAACAAACTAGATATAAAATGCTCGTTGACTCGTTCCAAATCAAACCCATTAAAGTAATAATACACAAACGAATACAAAACTATCATAGGGTTATACCTGCACTTTCAGGTTAAAATAAAGAATTATAATCCTGATCAATAGTCTTCAAAATTCCAAATGAAGTCGGTTTTGGGGGGTATTCAAAGTCAACCATTAGGCATGTCTCCCAAAGAAGACACTTACCTTCACATTTCTGAGTAGTTTCACTCTGCTTGTGACCAGCAGGGCATCTGCATTCAAAAGAGCCCACTGTATTGATGCAGTTTCCTCCCTGGCATATCCCCGGAATAGCCTGGCATTCATCAACATCTGCAGAAGAAAACATTTTGAACACAGATACCACTGATGTATTTCTTTAATGTATAGAAGAAACTCAGTTGTCCTGAAGAGAATAGGGTGAGGGGAGTAAGATGCCTTTGTATGCATATATTTTAATTTATGTAAATGGTATTGTGTTACAGATCTCATTTTCTTTCTTATTTTTTTCCTTTTGGAATTTTGTTTTTAAGTTCCGTCCATGTTGTTAGGTGAACAATCTGTCACTTCGATCTGCTGCAGAACATTTCTTAATATATTAACTTTCCTGGTGATGAGCACCTGGTTTATCTTTAATTTCTCATCACCTCAGTGAATGATACAGTGAAATGTCCTCACTATGTCTCTTTATGTAGTTGAGTGATTATGAACTTTGAGGACTCAACAAGACTCTCTATCCCCTTTGCTGTAGACCCAGAGCAGAATTACTAGACCACAGGGTATATGTATACCCAATATGAATAAATAGTGCCCAGTGGTTTTTCACACTACCAGTAGCCTACACAACCACCAGTAGTCTACACAACCACCAGTAGCCTACACAACCACCAGTAGCCTACACAACCACCAGTAGTCAACACACTTCTACCGTTCATGTGAATTCCTGTGTTTCCTCTTTCCTGCTAACACATCATATTACTATACCCAATATCCTAATTTTCTTTGGCCTGCTAATTGAAAAGGGGTATTAATTATTATTTTAGTTTCATTTCTCTAATTACTAGTTACTATGCATATTATCTTTTTGATTTCCATATCTGAAAGTTGTCTTTTTATATCCCTTAAATACTCGTTATATTGAGGTTGTTGTCCTCTTACTCTAAAATGTAAATGTTGTCCTCTTATGCTAAATATAAAACCTTTTTAGTTTTATACATTGCAATTATCTTCCTCATCCTTTGAGTAGCCTATTGATTTCATCCATTTAGAGGCAGAAATCCTTAATATTGACGTAGTAAAATTCATGAAGTTATTATAAAGGCTTTTCAGACATAAAAGCTGGGAGTCTACAAGAAATGGTAAATGAAGTTTTTCAGGACAAATAAAAGCGAGATGGAAATTATGATCTACACAAAAAATGAAAGGCACTAGAAATAGTAAATATGTTGATAAATATGAAATATATATGTATTTTTTAATAAACTTAAAAATTGCTTCAAACAACAATAATAATGTATTTTTTTTTATAACAAACATAGAAGTAAAAAAGTATAGCAATGATAGCATGGAGGACTGAAGTGGGAAATGGAAGAAGATTATTGTAAAGTTATTACATTATAAGTGAAGTGGCATAATATTATTTGAAAACAGGACTGGCTGGCTAGCACAATTGGTTAGAGTGCAGCCTTAAAATCTCAGGGTTATGGGTTCAGATCCTATAGTGGCCAGCCACCAAAACAAACTCAAAACAAAACCTCTTCTGAAAATAGAGGTAGGCAAGGAAAAAAAGAGGAACAAAGAATAGATGGGACAAACAGACAAGAAATAGTAAAATGCAGATTTAAACTCAATAATATAAATAATTACACAAAATATAAATGATATAATAACCCAATTAAAAAGGTTAAGGTTGTTAGATTTTTTTTTTTCCTTTTTGTCTTTTTTTACTGACCGGTAACGGGATTGCAACCCTCGGTGTCGCGCCCGTACCGGGGACCGGCAACGGGATCGCAACCCTCGGTGTTGCGCCCGCACCGCGCTCAGCCAATGAGCGGGAACCAGTCTCCACATGGGATCCGAACCCTCGGCGGGAGCACTCTCCAGTGCGCCACTGGGCCAGCCCAAGATTGTTAGATTTTATTTTACAAAAGCAAGACCCAATTTTATGGTGCCTACAAGAAACTTGTTTTGACAGCTTAAAAGGCAAAAGGACAAAAAAAGATATATTAAATAATCAATAATTAATAGTAATTTTAATGGAGTTGCTATTTTAATATTCTACACAATGCTCATCAGAAATATTACAATGGATAAAGATGGGCACTGTTAATGACAAAGTGGTCAATTTATTATGAAGACATAATAATGTTAAATGTGTATGCACTGATTAAAAATATTAAACATCTGGAGCAAATAGAACTTCAGCAGATACAACTGAAAAGAGAAATAGACAAATCCACAGTTGTAGTTCTACACTCCTCTCTTAGTAACTAACAGAACAAGTTGATTGAAAATTGGCAAGGATATATTAGACTCGAAGTATCCTTTCAACCTACTTATCCTAATTGACATTTATAGAACACTCCACCCATTTCAGCAGAACACACATTTTTGTCAAGTACACACTGAATATTTACCAAGACACACTATGTTCTGAAGCCATGCAAACAAGCTCATTAAATACAGAAGAGGATTAAAATCATCCAAAGTATGTTCTCTAAACACAACAGTTAAACTAGAAATTAATAATCAAAAACATCTGGAACATCCTGAAATATTTGGAATTTAAACAATATACTTTGAAATAACGCATACTTCAAAGAAGAAATCACATGGAAAATTAGAACATTTCAGTAGATTTTTATGTTAGAGAAAAACTGTACAGAAAAATAAACGTAATATGTAAGCTTATGCAAATTTGTTATAATCTATTCAAATTGACAGACTAACATAACAGATCTATTAATGGTATGTATTCAATTACAAAATAATATATCTCAGTGTAACAAATGTTAGGTAAAGAAAAAGAAAATTTAAAAAAATTTGATACAAGTTAGCAGTCTGTTCTTTTAGACTTTTATTCACACATACATTCAGAGTGGTGATCTACTTATTTAACAATAATGAGATCATATGAGTATTGTATGTGTCGTTCCGCATCTTGGTTTTTTTCCCATTTAAAAATATTTTGTGGATACATCTCTGTGTCAATATACATCAATTTACCCTATTATTTTTTGGTAAGCCAAGTTTGGTGTATTTTAGTGTGTAAATTAGAGAATCCAAGACCACAAAAGAGCTTAGCACTCTTATTATTTCTTCCTCATGGCTATATCTATAAAACTAATTACAACAGTTTAAAGTATTTTTGTAGCGAAATTAAGATTTCAGTGTCTTATTAAAGAATATCTGATCCAAAAAAAAATCAACTAGAATGAAATATATGACAAGAAGTTTATATACTGAATATTTTAATTCAGAACATTTCAAACCTCATTATTTTAAAATGTACTACATTCCCACCCTCATTACAGTGTGATTTAAAACATCCCTGAAAACTTCTTTTCCTTGCAGATAAATCAGAGAAAAAAAATCATGATATAAGCTGAAAAATGAGGCCAAACCTATAAATCCCTTAATACTATTCATAAAATCTTAGACTACATATTTAGTAGATTCAGTAATTTTTCAAAGGAAAAAGCAATCTGACATTATAGGGTTCATTTTGTAATTGTCTAAAAAGTATCTCCATAGAAGGAAAAAGAAAATCTTTATTTCTGAAGTCTCCAAAATTATGCAGCTATACAAAATTAATTTATTTCAGGTAGATCAAATTAGTAGTTAAAATAAAAAAGGAAATCTTAAAGAAATCATATAGAAATAATCAACTTGGACCTAGAAGCATATGCAAGTGTTCTCTGTGAAAACAAAAAAAGCAAGCCCGAGACCTGCAAACTATGGCAAGAGTTTCAACATCTTCAAAGTCTAGCAAAAGCAACTACTAATGACTGATTAATTTTCCACTGCCCAGACTGTACAGATGTACCTCTGTTCAACTCTTCAATTCAGGTATAAACTTGTTTCTTTAAATGCTGAATTTCTTCAACTCACATGTAAGGATTTTAGACACTAAAATTAAATCTTTGAAACTTAAACCTTATATAATCACTTCAGCCTATGCCTATTAAGATTATAAACAATGTGACAAAGTAATAATAATTTTAGTTTACGAACTCATTTATTCTCCAACTTCTCCAAATAAACTTGCTCTAAAAAGATTAAACTTATTTTATTATATAAATTACTATTAGATGATATATTATTTTTAGCTCATGTCCAAATATGGAAAAATATGTGCAGTGGTATAGGCACATAAAAATGGTTCATTTAATTTATGTGTGTGGGAACTAAGGACCATAGAAATTATTGCTGTATTTGATAGCAATACAAATTGTGTTTTGGGCTTTTTTAAAAAAATTTTTCCTGTCACCAAATCAGATCCATTTTTAGAATGGAAGTTTTTATTTCTATATTCTGTTAAACAGGCGGCAACGGGATTGCAAACCTCGGTATTGCTCCCGCGCCTCGCTCAGCCAGTGAGCGGGAGCCGGTCTGTATGTGGGATCCGAACCCTCGGGCGGCGCGCGCCGCCGCGCTTCGCAAGCAGCGCACCATCCAGTGCGCCACCGGGCCGGCCCAGATCCATTTTTAGAATGGAAGTTTTTATTTCTATATTCTGTTAAACAGGGCAACTGAAGAATAGGTCTATCTCTATTTGGAATCTGGGAAATATGGGGTACCTTGGCAACTGTTCAGTATGGTTTGATTCAGCCAGAGTACCTGCTCACGTGTGATACACAAAATTGGAATGTTAAATAAACGGTCATCACAACAAGCAAATATTGGTAACTTACTACCTGAGGGACTCTGAATTTGTAATAAAAAGAACAGAGTATGGTTGTGCCTCAATCTTTCTTATCTCGAAAAACGTCACTATCATTTTCCTGCTGTGAGAGTCAGAAACCCAGGAGATAAACTTGGCATTTCCCTCTCGCTTGCCTGACATCATTCCATGAGTAAGAAGACCTTGCTTCCCCAATACATCTCAGATCTTCTGCCACCCCGCGCTCAGCCTCCACTACACACTGTAGTGCTGCAGGAACTCTGTAACTGGTTTCTTGCCTTTCACGCTGGGCCCCCATAAGTGATTCTCCACAGGACAACCAAAGCATTTCTATTTTAAAATAAATCAAATCAAGCACATGATATCATCTCAGAAGTTTACAGACACTGCCACACTGTTTTCTTGTCTATGCACTGTTCTAGAAAATTCT